AGTTCTGAGACTGTTATGTTTTGAAATTTAATGTAGGGCAATTACAGCCAAAGTATATCTGGGGAGAGTCCTAGCAGAGTGAGTACATTTATGCTTTGAGTGGGTACTTAATTGTTGATGTGTAAGAGGTTTAGTACACTCCTAAAATTTTATACCCCTTTCTAGACGACAGAATATATGGCCAGGAAGCAGCCTAACACAGTGAGAAGGGAGAGCCGGACAGCAAAAAATCAAAAAGCTAACTATTCTCTGGTTACCACTTTGTGGGGTCTGGTACCCTGCTTTGCACCCTCTTTACACTGTATTTTTCAGACCCAGGCTCTCCCGTAGGAAGGAGATTACAGATGATACTCTGGAGATCCTAGAGGTAGCACTTCTGCGACTCTGCAGTGTGGCTGTGGTATTTTAGACTCCTTTGGGACAACCCAGATTTTAAAATGGGTGCAAACAGAGAAGGTACAGTTTTACTAAAAATGAAAAGCAGCTCCAAGCTCTATAGCCACTGCATGTATTAATTTTTAACATATGAAGCATTTTTAAGAACAGAGCATTTCATTTAAGGAAATAAATTTATGGACTGGAAAAGAGGAGGGTGGGGGAAATTTTTCTGCAGAAAAGAAAATGCAAAGTAGCCTGCAGAATGGCAGGGTACCACTAATCTGCACATATAAATCGTGGCCAATACTATGTATGTGGTGAACAGCAGATAATCTGTCAGGAAAACAGTGAAAGACCGACATACAAATGGCAAAGGCCTAGAGGGACTTCAGGAAGGAAAAAATAGTTTTCAGATTTGTGAGAGGTGCATATATCACACTGATCTGTAGTAACTTCCATATTGACAGTGGTAATCAATATGTCAGAATATTTATTATGAGTGTTTAGCAATAATATATTACTGATTGTTTAGCAATAATATATTACTGATAAGTAATTCCATTTTATGCAAGGCTTGAGTGATACACACTTTTTTCTACAACTGGCAGAAATATCACATACTAGGAAGCATGACAATTCCCAAAGTATTAACACCATATATATTCCATGCACACATGTATATGAGTTTTAGAAACGTCATAACACATTTATATTTGTTACTTGGCAATCTTAGTTCTCCATTAAAAGTGTAATATTAAGATCTATTTTTTCAGGCATGTGTTAGGCCTTATAAAATATTAGTTTTCTGATGAAATAAAAAGTGTATCTTAATTACAATAGCAATTTTTAATTTTTGTGTTAGGTATAAGCATGCAATGTATGCATTAAATTTTTTTTGTACTGTTAATCTATTCTTATCTTTGGTAGTCTATAAGTGACTTTTCTTTGTTCATTTTTCAGCATAATGTTATGTCATAGGAGTTGCAGTGAAGTATGAATTTTCCTTGTTTTCTCCAGTTAGCAACTCTGAATTGCTCTGTCAATAGGGGAGGCTGTCAAATCCAAGATTAATAAATGAAACCCTACGTCCACTGCTGCGGGTTATTTTTAATTCAATATAGAATTACATTTCTTCCCATTATATTTTCAGCCAGAATGTGCCTTTTAGAAAACCAGCATTCCGATCAAAAACATTTTGCAGTTCAGAGCAGTAAGTTGCCTCTTCTGGCAGCGTAGCCCGTGTGCCACTTTGCATGCTGGTTGATATTGGGAAAGAATGGGCACTGCTGAGCTGTTCACTTTCTAGTCGTGGCCACATTAAGTATCTCTGAGTGATGCTGCCCAGAGAAAAATGACCAGTTTAGTCTTCATGTGCTGCTCAGCTGGTTTGCAATAAACTCCAAGTCCTAATGACGGAATAAGTAGACCTAATGCTATTTTTTTAGGGAGGAGGTACACAACATTTCTTCTTGTCATCTCTTCTGTAAAGGTGGTAAAGGCAATCAGGCTGGTGCAAAAGTGTGTCACTGGGGTTCCAGGTGCCTTGGCAACTCCTGGATGCCACCTCTTTATAACAACTAACAGTTCTGCTGGAAAAGTATGAACCAAAATTATGCCTCTTAACTAGCTAAAGATTGATTTAAAGACAATTCCCTCAATGCTTAGACTATATATCCCTGCAAAAGTAGTTGCCTGTTCTGCTAGGAACAGTGCAGACCATATGCACAAACATTTTATGCAGCTAGTGCAGAGACCAGGATATCTCTGAAGGAAAGGCAGATACCTCTCCTTGCAAAGAGCGAATCGGGTAGCCTAAGCCAGCAGCCAATTCCTGCCTTTTGACTGTGCAGGTAGCCTAAGTATCGCCCTAAGTGATTCAATGCATGCACACACTGATAGAAAATAGCATAAAGGAAGGAGAAATTATAGGCATTACGAAGATCTGTCCGAACAGCCTTTTTAATTCAGGGCTTCTGAATGCTCACCCATCCCTGAAAAGTATTCTGAGTTCACATATGCAAGGTGAACATACCTTAGATTTGGGAGATATAGAGAGAAAGACCCCCCAACCTGAGCACATGCCCCCATCCACCAGGCTGTGATATATGCCAAACACAAGCCCGCCCTGTCCTGCCTGCTGGAGTCAGGCTGCCAGGCAGGCAGCAACACGTGAACTGTGGGTTCAGGAGAGAGACGGGGAGCCTCGCTCCAGCCCTGCAGCTGGGACGCTCTGCTCTGGTGGCTGCGCTGCGGTTCCCCCCTGCCTGGGTTACTTCTGTTTTTATCCAACGACGGCACAGCCCTCAGGAGAGAAGCAAAGGCGCCAAGCACAGCATCTCTCCCAGCTGCACTCCCAAACACACCCCCATCCACAACGACACTTTCAGGTCTCTCTGGATAGCAAGGCAGGGCTCGGCTGCCTCCCCAGGCACCCTGCAACAGCAGGGGTGCCTCAGGGTGCCTGGCCTTCTCTGACCAAGGCAACCCCTGTGGGAGCCAGCTGCTTTAGCGCCTGGAACTGTCTGTGTTCCCAAATCAGGGCTCTTACCAGTCTCTACTGGTTTGGGGCATGCCAGTGTGTGACAGCACATTGCCAACACCATACTCTCACCCACAGGCTATATGGGTTTGTCTGGAGACTCAGTTTAGCTGATCTGACTGTGGGCACACATTTTGGTCTTGGTAAGGGTCCTGACCTCCTAAATCAAAGTATAATACTCACCAGGGTTCCTAATAAGGATTAGATAGGACAAGGTTTCAGCTAATAAAAGGTGGTATTACTGCCTATGGTTTTGTCTGTAAACCATCACAGCAACAGCCAAATAAATACCTGTGATACACAAACTGAGCTCTAATTTTCAGGGTAGTTACATGTTTCAGAAATCCAAGACAGCAAATTCAGGATTCTGGTTTGATTCTTTTAAAAATGTGATTGACCAACAATTTCAACTGAATCTGTACCATCTAGACTCTTCCTTAAGGTCTGGGAGTATGTCAAAATAGGAGTCTGTGTATGACTGACTTCAGTCATGTATAACATTACAAATTACTACCACTAATTTCAGTAACAATGAACACTAATTATCTATTCTAATGCACTTTACGGAATTTACACTGAGAAAAACTGCGATCAGTTCTCTTATGGAAATGCCAGCATAAATACTTAGAAGTACTTTTAGGAAGCAGGTGAAACTGGTTTTGAATCAATACTCCATTTGTGATTATATCTGTGCATTTGCTTAGCATAAAAAAAGAAAAAAAAAGCTCACTGAAACTGATTGTGAATAAGTTCTGAATAAGCGGGCTCACAAGAAGACTTCCCCTAATTCTTTGTAACTTCAGTTCACTGTTTATTTCTACGTATCTCAAACCTTTGACTATTCACTGGAAATTCCGATTTGACTTCGGCACAATTTCTATCCATACCAGTGAAAAGTGTAGGTGTGATAAGCTGTCAAACCACTTTGCCCTGCTTGTGGTGCTCATCACATAAGCACAGCAAGTGTGAACAGTAACCGCAGTGCCCATAGCTGAGGTTTTTCTAAACAACTGATGCTGGGAGATGAGATTAGTAGGCAGGTGTTTGTGACAGAGAGATGTGAAGCACAGCCTTCGCTGGTACATCACCAACAATTGTGAGCAACCGATGCTCTGGACCTCTACCCTTCAGCAACACCAAAGGAAAACTGTTTTGACAGTCAGGCATTTTAAACAGGAAAGCACTTGTTTGGATAGTTTCCTTGGAAAAAAAATAATCTTCACTGTGCTTTTTCAGATGGAAGAAGTCCCATAGAGCACTCCTATGCTTGGGAGAGCTACCAGTCAATATCCACAAATCCATTGCATTATTCTTTCAGCTTAACCGATACAATTCTCCTTCATAGCAACATTCATAAAAGAAGTCCTGAGACGACAATTAATGCACTGACAGGCTGTGGCTACTGCCCGTTGAGCTGAGTAATTTCTTTTCCTGTTCCTTTCTACTCCCCTGCTTGCCTCCACACATGTGTTGTTTCTTCAGCATGAGCTCATCTTAAACCCAGCTCCACGTTGGTTATGCTTTTTGGAACTATGTTTACAGTAAATATAAAAGTAAAGCTCAATAGTTCACTCCCCCTGCCATTACAAGAATTTACTTCCTATGCTTCTCTTTTTGGTTATATTTAAAGCAAAGGCAACTGCCCACATTACTGCATTTTGACAACTTCCATTGAGTGTTAGATCACATATGCCCCACCCTCAGATGGATCAACGGGGCTGTCCCAGACTACAGCAAACTCACATTTTGCTAACTTTAATATATGGTCTTTCACCTTAGCACACAGTGCAAGTTCACACCCAAAATTATCCACAGTCAGAGGAAACACAGAAAGGTATTGCACAAGGCCATGAGAAGAATGTGCTTGTATCACTGTTTGGGACCCTCCATAACATCTGAATGGGTCTACCAGGTGTGACCCACAATGTACAAGAGACCTGTAGGCTTCTGGGACAGAAGCTGGTGGCCAGGTGGGATATCTTGGGGCACCTAAAATGGTGCTAGATTCACAGATTTAGACAAATGAGCTATACCCACCACAAGAAAAAGTGTACTTGAGCCACGGTAACACTGGCCTTATTACCTTGACCCATTAACCTGGTTTGGGTTACACTCCATCTTGATGGTGACTCTGGCTGGGGGCTGCGATAACCAGTCTTGCTGGGGAACACGTGGACTCATCTTTGATGTCTGCCCATATTCACTGGAGGAGGACGCCGTCATCTCTGTCTTTGTAAGGTGGGGCGATCCGTAGGCGCACTCAAACAAGGACTGGTCTTCACTCACCACTGATAACGCTTCCTGCAAATCAGAGAAGAGAAGTCAATATTCCCCAAGGAAAAAAGGGCTTGTCCATCGCCTGAGAAGATGAACAGCTGGTCACTTGCTTAAAAGCTCATTACTTTTTAGGCAGAACACTGCTGTCGGTGGAGGTGAGGACTGATGGCGCCAGACATGCCATCAGCATATGGCAGGACAACCTCTCCCTTGGGGAAATGCTTCCCACCAGCGGCTGAGAAGATGCACCAACATACGCTACCAAACACTTAGGAATAGTAGCCAGGAGCTTGGAGGGATGAGAGGGCAGGACAGGAAGCAAAGCTTGGGCCTTTGGCATCCCAGGTAGGGATGTGGAGGGCTGGATCAGCTGGAGGCGTAAGCAAGCTGCCATTGCTGCTCTAAATGCCCCTGCAAGGAGCGACCGAAAGCCAGGTCTTGCTGACTCACTGGGAGCTCCTCTTCCTTCCTCTGGGACCAAGGCCAAGTCCCTTCTGGAAAGGGATTCGAGACAGCTGGGCGCAACCTCCAGTCCAGGGACCCTTCTCTTTCTGCCAGCATCCACCACCAGCTTTGGCGGAGGTGCCCACCACCAGCCCCGGGAGGACACCATGCCCACCAGTCACCTCTCTCTCTCACAGCAACCCTTCCTGGCAGGCCATGCGGCTGGGCATCCTGCTCTGGCACTGTGGGAAGGTTTTCTCTGGCCACCTCCCCTTGCCACAGTGGCACTGCACTTATAGCCCTCGAGGGCGGCAGGGCTCACCAGGCTCCTCGGTGGCGGGGTGGCTGCCATTGCAGCTGGCTGGAGACTGGACAGACGCCAGAGGGAGCGAAGACCACCCCCTCTCCCCACCACCATGCATTCATGTTGGCACCAATTCCTTCCCCACTTTATCTAGAGCTGAGCCACGGGAGCGAGGCGGTGCCTGGGCCCAGCTGGGGCAGGCAGCATGCCCACCGGGCCCATCAGGAAGCCACGGGAAGGGTTGATGCTGCCGGAGGGACCCATCCTGCCTGAGCCGAGGCTCCCTGGCCACAGGAGGCGGCCTGGGCTCCCAGTCTCCTGCTGGTCCCCAGCACCACACAGGCTTGGGGGGCCACCTCTCCAAAAGCAGCCTTGCAAGGAAAGCCACCCTCTTCCGGGGCTACTTAGGGTGAACACAGGGCACAAGAGTGTAAATGGATGGTAACCCAAAGTGCGACTCACTCCCCCCACCCTGGCACCATGGCTCTGCCCTGAGATGACCGAAACAGGGCAGGGGGTCAGCCCAGCACCCCCCTCCCTCCCCCCCGGCCCCCGCCGGTGGCCAGGGAGCAGGCCCCAGCGTGGGCCCGGGCTGCCCCGCCGGTGGGAGGACGGTAAAACGGTAAAACTGCGTGGCCCTGTCAGCAGAGAAGGATGCGGCGGAGAGGGGAGAGGCGCAAGAGCCAGAGCGATGGGAGTCCTCCGGCTCAGGAAAGCCGGGCGGCTGCCGGCAGGATCTTCGTTTCCTCAGCTGCTGGAGGGGGGCTTTGCACAAGCTCTGGCAGTCTCATGCTGTCCTAAAAATCAGCAGTTGCATTTGATCGGTTTAAGGGGGTATACGTATATCGTTCTTTTTATTCCCCTGGTTTGTGAGCCCTCAGGGTGCACTGTTAATATCCATAGTTTTCTCTGCAACCACAAGGGCTGAAACATCACTTTCTTCTTATTACTTCTCATGGAAATTGAGATCGCTCCTTAATCTCTGGACTTGGGGAATGGGATCTCAAGCAGCCCTCCAAATGCCACAAGACTCGTGATCGAATCGCTACCAACTCTTCCTGCTGCGGGCCAGGATGCAAAAATTCAGACAGTGATCTGCACCACTTCGTTACTGCTATTCAGATGTTGTTTGAGGGCAAAGACCTCCGACCAGACCATCACCATTAACT